TTTTTTTTTTTTTTAATCCGTTGGCCTAAAGCCAACGGTCATATGTCGTGGTGGTACACCCACGAACTATTGAAATACAGCCCTGAGTTCGATCTCCTTGGGGATCGAAAAAAGATTTGGATCATTTCTCAATTTATGCGTATCATCCTTGCGCAGGGCCATGCAGCTCCGTACGTGGCCAATCTCGATCGCGCGATCTCCGAGATCGTGCTGTCGAAGTCGACCGCGTCACTTCAAACAAGGAACACGGCTGCTCCAAAAGGAGCTAGCCTAGGTAGTATATCGTCGGACTCGATCCTAGCACCCGCTGGGTGAAAGTTTGACGTTCTAACCTATCGGGCTAGCTCCTATTCATGGAAGTTAGACGCGCAACTCTTCTATTAGAAGAGTTGTTGCCTAGTAGGTCACCCAACTTTGGGACTAGGCAGCCCCAATCTACCTCATCTGGCCAAACAGTCGTTGCCCAGCCATCTAACTGGCTGGGGTTTAGCCCGGTAGGTCCGATAAGCCACCCCTTTTAGCCGCACATTGGACTTCGAGCACCGGATGGAGTCAAATCCCATGGCCTGGAAAAAACATAGACTTCCCATTCCTCCCGCGTCTTGACCCCATATCCGATACGACCCTCTTTTTAGCCTACTTAGACCCTGAATCGCGCAGTTTGATAGCCCTGCGTAATTGTTTTAGGTAGAATAGGTCTAGCTTTAACGTTTTCATATTTGTGTGCCTCTGCAGCCTCGACAAAAGTGAAGCATTGTCGGTTACTGCCATTACTCTTGGACGTCACAAGCATCTCGACTAAAAAACAATGTTTGTCTTTCGGTCATACGTTAGTCTAAATGAACTTTTGGCAACGTAAGTCTCATCAAGTCCCTTAATTCAACGAAAAACTTGGACTGTGTTCGACGTTTAAAATCCCTTACGTATTTGCCCCCGACACCGTCCCTACTTAACCCTGTCCATCCCGATGACCGTTGAACCCGTGCGTATGAGGACGTTCGTCATACCCGTATTCTCTATGCTTATTGTATTAGTCTCATTCGTTGCCTGCATTATGACAGACACTGTCGGTCATCACTGTCGGGTACAGTCGTGAGTATTTGCAGAGAGAGGGAAAGGAAGACGAGGGAGTAAAAGAGAACGAGGTTGCGCTGAGAAGGGAGAGGGCGTGGAAGAAGGGGGACACTTACCTTGGGGAGGGTATCTTCCAATGAAAGGTACATTCTCGTATTTGGACTCTTAATAGGTGTGTGCGTGGTTGCACACGTACGAGTTGGTGCGCTGAGCGCATGCGCTCACACAGAGCTGTCTCTTATACACATCTAGATGTGTATAAGAGACAGCACACACACAGCGTCTTTGCTCTGATCAATTCTGTAATTGCAAACACATCCTCTTCCCTGCAGTCTACTTCCGAAGTCATTCAGATTGCACTGAGAAAGAGACAAAGAGGGTAGGGAAAACCCCAAGGGGACTAAGAAAACAACAGAAAGAAACAGAGGCAACGTTGTATTCCAACGCCGCGTCCACACCATGAAGAAGACTACCGGCATCGCCACACCACTCTCGAAATGTGCAAAATGAGAATGAACTTCCCGCTAGAACATGGCCAGATGCACCCGCCACATTTTTGTCTTTCTCACATTTCGAGAGTGGTGTGGCGAGGCCCTACAAGAGCAACCGAGAAGAAGCAGACATGGAGGACGAGAAAGACAACACGAAGCGCAATTGCTGCAGAACGGCAAGAACTACAATTGCTAAGAACGACAAAGGGAGAAGAAGAAGAAGAGGAAAAAGAGAAGAGGAGGAGATCAAGGAGAGGAGGATATGGAAGAAGGAGAAGGGAGAAGATTCACCTTTCCACTCAATCGGTTGATGCAATTGCGCAGGTCTAGGACGCTATTGGCTCCGCGGCAAAATCTTGATTGATGGCGCCGGTTTCGCACACGTGGATCCTGTGCAGGTCGGATAGAACAACGTTTCGTCCTAACGTACATGCGTTGATCGACTCTGATGGCTTTCGTTTTTTCTCTAAGGGGGCTCCCCACAGCACTTTTGACACGAAAAAAGGATGAGTGAATCTTCTGCAAAAAGTGGGAACGATGCACATGAACTGTTTTCGTTCCAATTCAATAGATGTGGGGCGAGGGCCTAAGGACAAGTTCCAATGTCCCGTCTTCTTTTGCAACAAGATAAGGACACGTCGCCGCTTTTCTGGATGCACCTGACAAGGAAAACGGCAGGATTGAAGTCCCAAAAAGGGAAGGGGGGGGGTCGGAGTCGGGGTCGGGAAGGGGCTGTGTTGCATAATTTACGAAATTTTGCCATAAGTTAGAGAAATATGCCAAATGGCCCTAAAAGATGTGAATAATGCGGACTACCCGTCTGAGAAAATTCATCTTTTGCGAAATACCCCTGCCGTCGGGTCTAGGGTTGGATTGAAAGAGTAGTACTTCGGACTGGGGATCTGTGGGATGAACTAACAGGGGACTGGATCCCAGTTCATACACTCAGACACAAGCGAGGCCAACTTAGGAAAATCGAAGAGAAAAGGAGTTCCATCATAGAGGCTATTCCTGCCGCTTGGAAATGTATTCGTTCTCCATCAGGGGCAAGGTCCCACTTGCGCAAATTAGGAGATTTCGGCCGTTGATCTTTGCTATCTACTGTCAGTATCTAACCACCAGTACTTGGGCGATGCCTTAGCGTTAACGCTACGCGATTTCCACGGCCGGCGGGCCGTCGATAAATCGAATCTACAGCCCGCGCTGCTTCGAGATTTGGGCGGCAGGCACGGCGCACAGTGCCCAAGTACTGGTGGTTTAATGCGTGAAAGTGGGACATAGCCCAAGGGGTAGACCCATTGGGAACGTGGTTTATCACTACACACTCTAGCTTCCCCCTGTTCTGGAAACTGATTGACATCCAACCGGATGGGAAACGTATCTTTAGTGGATGGGAAGGTAGGGACAATAGCTCCTCTCTGATGATGATAGGAGTTTCGATGACAAGTACCCCACCGTAAATCAGCTAGACTGTGTGTGGGTGAGTAGAGGATGGGAGTAATTGGTTGGTTTGGTTCAACGAAGGGCTTAGACTCCAGAGGTATAGCAGAGATATAAGTCGCTCCGACTAGTCTGAGTTCCACCTCGCCTTGGGCAAGATAAGGGAAGGACGGTAGGATGTGCCTGTGGGCATCAGCTTACCTCATCACACCTAGGGGCTAGAGGAAGATTGCTTGAACCTGGTGTCCAAAGTTCCCATACGACAAGGCTCGTTCGACTCCGCTTCCACCAAGGTTGGCTCATGGCTAGCCCGTTGTCTGTCACTACTGTCCGGTCTAAGTTTCCCCTCAATACTGATAGGGTAATGGTCCTGAGTGCTGGTCACACAAAGGTAGGATAGTAGGGACAGGGGGTGCACTAGGAGTATTGATGCGAGGATAGGATGGGAGGTAGCCTCGTCTTCTCAGGGCAACCATGGTTGACCACTCCCAGTAATCACCATGTGCCCAGTAACTGGCCTCTACAACACCCTAGACTTTATGGAAAAAAGAAAAAAAAAAGGACAATAGCCCCTCCCTCATTCAAGTGGAAAATGCAGCCTCTTCAATTGGCGACTCCTTCAAACAGATTAGAGTTACAAAATACACATATCTGACCGGAAAAACATCATGTTATTTGTTTGATAATGGGAAGCTTGTCACAACATTTAAGGCACCAATACATGGGCACCTGGGCCGTGGGCCTAACACCTCGAATTCTTGAAGCGCAAAACGAAAATGCAACCATCAATCCAATTTATCAACGGCAAGCCCAACGTTTGACGTTTCGGCCTTGTTTTCTTGTGGTGACAAGTTTCGGACAACAAGGTTGGGGCCGTGTACTAGTGGTTTAAACCACCAATACTTCCTAAAGTTGTGTTCGTTAACAAACCACAATTTTTTGAAACGTACGGGCCACTACAGGAGCGCTAAAATTCATTCGACTAGAAACGTTTCTACTTTATTTTTTCTCGCGGCCAATAGTTGGGCCAAGTATTGGTGGTTTAAGTTAGACCCACATGCATCAGAATGAAGAGCTAAAGGGAAAAATGGGGACAACCTTCGGTTAATGGAGTACACTTTACAGACCGGATACTACAACATGGTAATTTTGACAAAAGACTCACTGTCGGTGTCAAAAAACAAATGGATCCCACTATTCCCAAACTGCAATCCAACCTCTTTGTCCAAAATGATTATTGGATATTGGAAACAATTAAAGGTCATTCCCGATCAGAGGTATGGTGCGCTATTATAGTTAATATCCCTAACAACCACCTACACTGCTGTCTGGCTGGTTCAACATGGCATGTCAATCGATACTAAATGTTTGAAATATTTATAGGCCTTCGAATATATTTTTCACATACGATGGGATTGCCCAACTTCCTATATAATTTGGGTTTGGTGGACAAAACACTGGAACAGTTTCTGGTATAGATCTAAAAAATGAAATAAATTATGGGTATTAATTGGAGGAGTGTCTGGTAGGCTGAGCTTGCATGAGGGTTAGGGATACATCGCTCAAACTTTCATAACAGTTATTTACTTCGTAATTGAGCACGAGATGAATGATAGTCTTCAGCAACAAACAATGGTCGAAGAAACAGATCCGAAAGGAAAATTTTGAAAGCATCAAAAGGTTTATTATTGTAGATTGGAAAAGAAAGCTCATAACATAGGGCAATAGAGAAACCGGTATGATATGTTTTTTGAAGACTTGGGGCCTAAGTACCACAATTATCGTAATCAATATGCAGGTTAAACTTTCAATGTGCAAGTGGTTATTAGGCTCATAACGGAGTTTATTTGTTTTTGTGCTCGTGACATCCGCCTTCCATTTAGCCTGCCACTTTTTCATCTCAAACTCTTCCTTTCCTCCTCTCATTTTTTTTCCCTCTTTCGGTCATTCCCTCTCTTTTTCTCTGTTTTCTTCTTATAAATTACATCCTTGTTGCTAATCACTGAATTTTTTTTTTTTTTTTTAATGTTTCTTTTTAGATCTTCTTACCTTTGTTCTTTTAATATGCACACTCGGTTATGGTTTTGGTCACAAGAGATAAGCATAAAATGTAAAAAGTGGAGGAAGTGTGAATTGAGCAGAAGGGTTCTTCTCGGACTCCGCCCCCATTATTAAGGTTGATTCAGTGAGTCGAAAGTAGACCTCCGGGTTACTTAGCGTTTCTCTGTAGGATTTTCGTTTTACCCTTGCCAGTGAAGGTCATCTTTATGTTTCCGCCTCTGATCGTTGGAGGCCGGCAACGATTTTGTACAGATCCTTGGAAGGCACTGTCGCCCCAAAATGAGAATTGTAGAGACAGTGTTGGCGCTTAGTTTTTTCTCATCCGACCATATCATCCCCCATTCATTCGCAGGATGTCAAAACAAGTCTGAAGTTATACCACCAGTACCTTTCTCAACCATTGTGTGTGGGAACGGTATCGTACCTAATACCCTTATAAGGGTATTTTGGCGTACTTTTTGCATGTCACACCGGCGTTGTTCGCATTTGACAACACTTTTTGTAGTTGAGACGAGGCCGTCGGTGTGGGCTATCGGGACTGAAAATGAAACAAACCGATGCACGGATAAGTGGTTTGTCAACGTTCGCACATTTAACCGCAAATGCGGACGGCGAACCACGTGCGCGAGAGAAAAAAGTTGTTTTTTCACCCTTGTTAGGTGACGTGCGCGAGCGCAATTCTTTGAGACTTAGTCATGCACGGCGTCTAAGGCCAGTAGTGGCGTACGATGGGCGGTGTGTCAGCAACGAACATTGCCCAAGCCCCTGTACGGCGAAGTGCGGGAGTTCACCGACTGCAAGTTTGATTAGTAGGCCGAGTTGTGGCCTCCGTATATTTTGCAGACCCGATCGTGGTGCCTTGAAGTGCTAATCCTATCCTTGGGTCTAGAACTATTGGTTAAGTTCTTAAATTGTTATTGCAGAGATATAAGGATCGAGGCCAACGACTGGCGGCGATAGAGTGGTGGAGCAACTTTAAGAAAACTGAACGGTAGCGGGCCCCGCAAGGCTATCGTCCTTGGTTTTTGCACGGTCCCGATCAAGGGACCGATTGGCAGGACCAAGGAGGTCCCAGCAGTCCCTTCCCCCTTATCCTTCTTCAATTTTTTTTTTTTTTTTTTTTTTTTTTTTTTTTTACTTTTATTTTTATTTTGGTTCCACTTTTCTTTGGGGGACACAATACCGACACCGGTATCGATTTCGAGACCCGCAGTGAAACTGACGAGCTTAGCTCAGTTGGTACACTATGAACTGGTAATGACCGCAAAGTTTAACGTGCATGCCAACTGGTGAGTGTGTGACCCATGGGATAGAAGAAACTTGAGTGGCGGGGGCCCTCTACTGGGGGGCCACCGTCCGGCCCCAACGATCCGCAGTGAGAGGTTTGAGTGTGAGCATGCCCGTTGGGGCCCAAAAGATGGTGAACTATGTCTGAGCGGAGCGGGCCAAAAAAATTTATGGTGGAGGCTTGCAGCGACACTGACGGACAAATCGTTCGTTAGACTTGGGTATAGGGGCCAAAGACGAATCGAATCGTATAGCAGCTGGTTCTCTCCGAAGTTTCACCCTGAAAAACTATGTTGAACAACTCTCGTGTTGTTGTGGGAATAACCGTTGTCGGGCACTGCGTTAGCCGGGAGGAAAACGATCGGGACGAAGGCGGCGACGAGGAAGAAGAATGGTCGGGGTGATAGATGTGTACCTCGCGCGTTTCTTAATGAAAACGAGTGAGGAAAGGTGGCAGATAGGGGGGTTTGGATAGAGCGAGTGCCTTGGTGTTGTTAGATTTGGTGTTAGTTGTATAGAGTGAGAGTTAGATAGGAAAGGGAGTACGCAGAGATGTCGGACAAAGAAGAAGAAAGGGAGAAAATACAGATTCC